TATAATTTTTTTTTTGGTGGAACTGGGGATTGAACTCAGGCCCTTGTGCTTGCCAGGGAAGCGCTTATTCCACTGAGCCATCTCCCCGGCCCCTCTTTCCTATATTTTGGCTTCACTTCCTCATTGTGTCCCAGCTGATGGCATCTCTAACCCAACTCTTGCCGTAGCAGGGCTCTCCCAGACAGCGGCTATCTCAGCTTTTAGCTTCTCCCAGCTCCCAGGGAGGCCAAACATACTCAGGTAAATAGCACTCCTCTGGCCTGAGGAGGATGGTGCGCCTTTTAGTGCCTTTCTTGCTATAGATGCATCCCAGAAACGCCTGCATTTTGCTGGAACTGGAAGCCTGATGGAGCAGAAGTCCCCAGCTTCCAAGAGCAGGGCTGGGCACCCAAGAGCCCGGGGGCACACAACCCGTAGGTTGTAGGTTCAGTCGTACCCAGAGCACATGCTGATTGCTGAGTTGGGAATCACCCTCTTGGCCTTTGAAAGCAATCCCGGGGTGCCAGACAGGGTGAGGTGAGAGGAATGGGGGGAGGCAGGGAAAGGCAGAACAAACCCCAGGGTTCCACACCAGGTCGGGCTGCACCTGGCATTATTCCAGCCCCTGGCACAGTGGAGGTGAGGTTACATTGATTCGATAAGAGAGCTCTAGAAGGAGCTCCATTACAGAGATAGAAAAAATCAAGAGATGAAAGGAAATGCACACTCAGGAAGAAAAGCCGAGCAAGATAGTGGAGATGGAGGAGGGAGAGAGAGAAGAAAAATATATCAGCAGAGATGTGGAGCGGGGAGGAAGAGGAAGTAGGAGAGGGAGAGAGTGGGAAGGAGGGAGGAAGGGGGAGAGAGGGAGAGAGGGAGAGAGGAAGAGAGGGAGAGAGGAAGAGAGGGAGAGAGGGAGAGAGGGAGAGAGAGAAAGAGGGAGAGAGGGAGAGAGGAAGAGAGGGAGAGAGGGAGAGAAAGAAGGAGAGAAGAAGAGAAGGGAGAGAGAGAGAGAGAGAGACAGAGAGAGAGAGAGACAGAGAGAGAGAGAGAGAGAAAATATTGAGTTTTCACCAAGCCCAAGTACCAGAATAGCAGCTGCTGGTGGCAGCAGGCTGCCCTCAGATGGCCCTTAAATTGGGACTGAATTCAGTATTCTCTGAGTCTAGCGTGTTGGTGTCGCCGAGGACAGACCGTGCTGATCCAAGGTTGTCAGAAAAGACCCAGCTGGAAGGAGACGCGCGCCATCCAAGCATGTGGCTTCCTGTGTCGGGCTCCACACATCCCCCTCCAGCTCCCACCCTGCAGGCCAGTTTCGAACACAGCGCTGAGGAGGTGGCACCAGCCCTGGGGAGGGCAGGAAGCTTCCTGCAGGCCTGAGGAAAGGGGAAGAAAAGGAGCAACCAGGGAAAAAGAGACTGAAGGAATAGGGGTATGGAGAGAGTAGGTGATTGCTGCATTTGGGAAGAGTGTTCTATAACCAGGGCTGTATTTTTGTGTTTCCAGTTCTGGTTAGTCCCTGTTTGCAGTACCTTACGGCTGCATTCCTTGTGGGGAGCTGGTGCGTGCACACAGCACATCTCAGTTGCTTTTCCATCTCATTCCTCTGCCCCCCGGCCATTGTTTGATCCCCTTCCCATTTGAAAAAGGTCTCTCTCCCTCCTTTATACTCTCTGTCTTTCATTTTGTCCCACATGTATTTCATGCAAGAGGAACTACAGGACATTTAAGCTTGTGCATCTGATTTATTTCACTTAACATTGTAATGTCAAGATGCAACCATTTTCCTACAAAACAACTCGAGTTTATCCTTCTTTATGGCCATTAGAGAAAGGCAAATTAAAACAACAGAAGGATTCCAATTTACCCAGAAAGAATGGCTACTATGAAGAAATTAGGTAAGAACAAGTGCTGGAGAAGCTGCCGGGCAAAAGGGACCCTTCTCTACTGTTAGTGGGAACGTAAACTGGTACAACCACTGTCAAAATCAGTATGGAGATTCCTCAAGAAACTCAAACAAGAAATTCCATTTGGTCCAGCTCTTGCCCTTCTAGGTATGTTTCCAAGAGTTAAGATATCATATTACAGTGATCATGCATACCTGTATTTATAGTAGCACTATTCATAATAACTAAACCTTGTCTTGTATTTTTAAAAATGTCAGTAACATATTTGTGATACATAATAATTAGAATTGACACACACTTTCATATCTCTTATCTTGATCGTTTTCCATCGCCTTGCACCCTTCCTATCCTCTCCTCTCTTTGCTTCCTCTCTTCCCTTTTGCCATCTCCAAGTCCATGTCCCTCTTTCCTTCTATCTCTCCTATATTTTACTCTTTTATTTATATTGTGGGTTTCTCATAGAAGCTCGACCATGCAATACTTAACCTTCTGTGTCTGGTTTAATTCAGCTCACAATACTGTCACAAGATCCATCCATTTATTTTGCATATACCTGGAGTTCATCCAGCCTCTTCTCCACCCACCCTCCACTGCTTAGGAGGAGGGGGTGGTCCTAGACACCGAAAGAGACAGTCTCTGCTCTAGGCAAGTGTAAAAGTGGCCCAGTAGGCTCCATGTATGTAGGGTTCCTTTAGGGAAAAGTAAGAGCATCAGTTATTTCTCACACCATGAGAAATGTTCATTAACTAGTAGCATTACAATTATTATTATTATTATTATTATTATTATTATTTTGCATTTTAGGGAAGGGTCTCCAGGGTGTTCAGGGTCTCACTACTAGATTGGACTTGCAGTGATCTGCCTGTTTACAGCCTCCCAAGAGCTGGGATTACAGGCACATACCACCATGCCCAGTCTCAATTGTAGTCTCAGTGCTTCCCTGGAGGCAGGGCCAGCATGGCAGGCCAGGGGATTGAAGCCCCAGCCCCTGTGTCTGCTTGCAGGTGCTTTAATCCACTAAGCTATTCAGCTGGCCCACAAAAAAATTTAAAAAACAAACAAACAGAGAATGTCAAGTTAAATGAACACAGTCCCATCCTTTTTTTTTTTGAACAGAATCAGGGTTTGAACTCAGGCCCTTGTGCTTGCCGGGGAAGCGCTTATTCCACTGAGTCTTCTCCCCAGCCCCAGTCCCATCTTCTTGATCTGTAGAGTCTCCCTTTGTAGGCTGGCTTTCAACTCCCTGTGGAACCCAGGCTGGCCTTGAACATGACGACACCGTCCTGCCTCAGACTCACAGGTTCTGGGATTACAGATGTGTATCACCACACCTTAGCTAAAATTCTAAGAATTTCAGACTTACACCACATCTGTGCTTGTGATTCTCAGTTCTGGATCAATTTAAAAATGTGAATTGGGTGCTGGGGAGAAAGCTCTGCGGCATAAGTGCCTGCCTGGCAAGCACAAGGTCCTGAGTTCAATCCCCATTACTGCATGCCTTGTCAGCCCCAGAACTCTCGGCATGGTGGCATACACCTGTAATCCCAGCGCTGGGGAGGCAGAGACAGAGGATCACGAGTCCAAGCTGCGTAGTGAGACCCTGTACCAAATAAATAAAAAATTATGTAAATTGAAAATTAGAAAGTACCTCAAATTTAGAAGAGAAGGGCAGGGATACTTGTTTATATGCTAGTACTTTGTAAATAAATGTCTTTACTTGGATTATATCTTTATATGCTTTTTTTTATCAGCAACTTTGTAACTGACCTTTATTTTTTTTTAATCACCAGTGGTGCTTCTAGATCTGGAAAATGTGGGGTTTTTTAATTTTAATTTTATTGAGAAACAAATATGAATGAGACAGTTTCAAAGCTGATTAATAGACAGTTTCGATAATCAATACATTGTACACTGTTATCTTCCTAGTGGTTAGCCATAGTACAAGAGGCTCACAGGATATCCTGTCCAAACACTATCAGTACACCACGGAAAATGTGGTTTGAAGGAATTAAGTAAATTTCTCAAGGTCATCTAGCTGGTTGAGAGGAGGAAATGGGATCCGTACCGTGGTCTGCTTGCATTCAAAGCCCATTTCTTGTTGCTTATGGGCATAGACATCTGTAAGTCCCAGCTTCTTAGGAGGCTGAGGCAGGAGGATCACACCTGTGAGGCCACCCTGAGCAGCTTAGTGAGACCCTGTCTCAATGTAAAAAGTAAAAAGGGCTAGAGATGTGTCCCCGTGACAGATCACTTATCTAGCAAGCTGGTGCCTGGGTTCAATCCCCAGCAGTTCAAAACAAAATCTCCATACCTGGTGAGCCCAGGAAGCTCAAGAAAAGCTGCTCCCAGAAGTAAGGCTGAGAAGTCATGGCTAGTGGGGTGAGCACAGGCTTTCAGGACACATGAGGGGAAGTGGTAGGCAGGGATTTCCTCCTCTGCCTTGGTGAGCCTGGCACCATATAGTCAGATGGTAGGCAGAGGTGTCAACAAAAAGCCTAATTCCCCTGGGCTAGGACTTTATTTTTTTATATAACTATATAATAATTTTTATTTTCCTTCTCTTTTCATTTTTATTCATACATATTTGCAACATAGAATGTTTACATTCATTGTACAGAGCTCATACATACACATAACATTTTAATTCCTTTTTAATTTAATTTAATTTTTGTTTGATTTGGCTTTCTGTTTTTGAGACAGGGTTTCACTAAGCAGAAATAAAGTTCTGTGATGTCACATATGTGCAAGTAATTTAGCAAAAATAAGTTACAATGTTAATGTGGCCTGGATTGGGCTAGGACTTTAGAGGTGACACACGATGTGTTCACCTAGAAGCAGACGCTGAGGTGATACATATCCAGAGTGGATTCCAAAGTGGTCTCAGGACCAGTGCTAATGGGAGAGGAGGGAGGCGGGGCTGGGCAAGGGGAGAAGCTGGGCAGAAAGCAATCCAGGTTTCTTCTAGGGTTCTAAACCTGTGAGGAGCCTTCAGCATTGTCCTGGGTTGGGAGGGGAGCTGGGTCTTCCCATCACCACAGTGCCTGGAATAGGGGTGTAACCTTGGGCAAGGACAATTTCTTCAGTTAAAGCAACTCCATGAAAGGCTGATGGGCATGAGTTTCCAAATGCCCACCTTACCAGCAGCTGGGAAAGTGAATCCCAGCGTCCTGAAGGGGCCAGGGAGGGGGCAGCCCGGTGTCCACTGCAAGGTTTCTCCATGCTACTGATGGGAAATGGCTGGGGATTGTGTTCCTGGGCTTGGCAAAGCCAATTTCATGATGCACAGAGACTCTCAGGGGCAACACAGACCATGGACGAGGATTTCCAAGGGGCAAGGGTCTTACAGACTGCAGGAGGAAGCTGGGATGAAGTTTCTTTCTTTTTTTAAATTTTATTTATTTATGTGTGTGTGTGTGTGTGTGTGTGTGTGTGTGTGTGTGTGTGTCCAGCTCAGCCCACCAGGGGGCAGGGCTGGCTGGCATGTGGTGCTGGGGGATTGAACCGCGGTCCCTGTGCTTTGCTAAGCTTGTTCTAAGTGGGTGCTTTAGACCACGGAGCCATCTCACCAGCCCTGGGATGAAGTTTCGAAAGGTGACTTGAAATTTGAATGTGCCCCTCTGCTCCTTGTCCCAATAATATGAGACAGAAAAGATGCCCAGAATGGAATTCTGTAAGGAAATCTAAGGTGAGCATAGATTCTTCCCCTGGCTAGTTTGTCCTTCAGAAAGAGCCCAGGTGCCTAGCCCTGCATGGAGAAAGACAAGGGAAGGACAACTCGGTCCCGCTTCAGAGCTGTCACTTACTGGCTGGAGGTGCAGGCAGAAAGAGAACACGGTGTGCTCCTGGGCTGTCTTGGATGGAGCTGCCAGATTTTGGGGTAAATTAATTCAGAGGAAGCCAGCAAGGTGGGAAAGT